TTTTGCAGAGGGAAAGAGCTCCTGATATGAATGGTGGCTATAATTGCGTACAAGTGTGAATGTCCTTAATACCACGAAGCTGCCCTCTTCCTCTCCAAAAAACAAAGCATGCAGAAGATGGAATATTCAAGAAGCAAGGGGCAGTTAGAAAAGTTCTCACTGTGGAGCTTGGCGTTGGTGTCACAGCGTATTATGCCAACGATTGTGATGCTGACATCCCATTGTGGGAGTGCCTGGCTCAAGTCCCAGCTGTTCTGCTTCTACTGAGGCTCCTGCTGGAGTACCTGGGGAAAGGAGCCAAAGATGGCCCAAGGATTTGGACCCCTGCCACCCACAGGAGAGACCAGGATGCAGTTCTCAGCTCCAGACTTCAGCCCCAAATGCTCTATGTAATTGGGAAGTGAGCCAGAGGGTGGAAGACTTGTCTGTGTGTTGCTCTCACACATACACGCACACACACACGTCACTCTCTTTCACATACTTATTCATGTGAAAGGAGAGACAGACAGACAGGGAGGCATCTTCCATCCTCTGCTTTACTCCCCAATTATCACACCAGCGTGGTCTGGGTCAGGCAGAACCCAGAACCCAGGAATTCCATCCTGGTCTCCCACACAGGTGCTAGGGCCCCTGGTACTCGGGCCATTTCCTGTTGCCTTTGCAGGCACAGTAGCAGGGACCTGGAAGGGAAGTCAATGATTAGAATGCTGACACTCCCATATGGAATGGTAGCTTTGCGAGCAGCAGATTAACCTGCTGCAGCACAACACTGTCCCCTAACACACACACACACACACACACACACACACACACACACACACACACACACTGCAGCACAACACTATCCCCCCAACACACACACTGCAGCACAACACTATCCCCACAATACACACACACTCTGTATCGATACACTATCCCCCCAACACACACACACTGCAGCACAACACTATCCCCACAATACACACACACTCTGTATCGATACACTATCCCCCCAACACACACACACTGCAGCACAACACTATCCCCACAATACACACACACACACTCTGTATCGATACACTATCCCCCCAACACACACACACTGCAGCACAACACTATCCCCACAATACACACACACTCTGTATCGATACACTATCCCCCCAACACACACACACACACACACACACACTTTTTGCTTTTTTGTCTCATTTTCACGTCTGGAGAGACCAGGCAGCTAGAGGTTTTTGGGAGTTGAATATTCTACTTCTGTCAGATGAGTCCGTGTCTGCTGTACACCCAGCAGGGATCCCACGAGGTCATGTTCACAATGTCCTTCACGTCCCAGCTGGCGGGGACAGAAGTGGAGGAGGCCTGGTAGGTAGATGCGAGGGCAGGGCTCCTTCCTGGATATTAGTGTGTGTGCCAGAGGGCCATAGCTGCAAGCCCCGCATCTAAAGCCCTTCTGTAGCTTTACCCCCGCTCTCCTACAGCCCAGTGTCCTGCTGGGCCCTGGTCTGTACTGCAGAGGAAAAGATGAGCAGACCCAGCTGGGAGAGGCTGAGAGCGCTGCATCCAGAATGAGTCTCTCCATGGCTTCCCCACGGTTCTCAGCCGCGCAACCTGAGGCATTCAGTAACTGGTTGAGAGCTGCCCCCTCTCCGGTGCCTGAGGGCCACAGCTCGGGTCAGTACGGGGACAAGGCTATGGAAGCACAGGCGGTTTGGTTTAAATTCTGCTCCCGCGGCTTTAAGGAGATTCCAGCACTTCACTTCCCTGCACCTCGGTTTCCTCATCTGCATGTCAGGCATAAAAGAACACCAGTGCAGAGCTTTGGGGTGACTTGAGACCAGTGTCAGCTGCATGTAAGATGTGTGACCTGAATCCACACATGTGTGGTGTTGTGACACACGTTTGCACTAATGGTCGCAGGATTTCTTTCCCCTCCCGAAACCTGATCTCATGGAAGTTTCCTCTCAGTTCGAAACACTGCAAACCTGGTGGAACGGGCTCACACTCCACTGCCAACCATGCAGCACAGAGTGGGAGAGGGAGCTGCATGGGATCAAAATAACAAAGGAGACAGAGACACAGAAGGTTACACAAGTGGGCAGGCACGGGGAAGCCTCCTTTGGCTTGACAGGAGGACCAAGCCTGCAAGCCCTGCACCAGCTTTGTATTGCACCACGTAGGGCATCAAGTTACAGAAACTGATGGGACACAAACATGAATGGCCATGCCCTTTGTGCACGTGAAACAGCTAACACTCCATCAGAAAGCAAGAGTGTGAGCCCAGGAGCAAGTCAGTACGATTGTCTCCAGGATTTCCGTGCAGCATCCAGCTCTGTGCCATTTCCAATGCTAGCTCTGTGAGATTTGCACACGTGGAAGGTTGGGGGTGACCTCAACATTGTGAGGAATGTCTCCTATCAGAAGAAGCAGTCATGAACACTACTCCTCCCCTGAGTCTCTGTAACCTGAGGCATGCCTGGTCTTGCCTGGGCACCTGTGTCAATGCCATCGGTCACACCAAAAGCAAGTACTTCACCGTCATTCTGAGGTAGTGCAAGTGGGGTTTGAGACCTTTTCTCCTCGAATTGGAGCTGCAAGAAACGGTTTTTCATGTTGGGGTGTGTCCCAGTGACCAAGCCCCGAAGATGGCTGCCTCCACCATCATTATGAGTGGGGTGAGAGTCCGACCCTGAAAATGACCTCTGACCACTGGGTAGGTATTCACTACTCAGAAGCTCATGTAAATGCCACTGCGAAAATTGTCTTTTCCTCATCATCTGTAACTACCCTCACTACTATCCTCAGAGCCACTTGATTGTGGACACAGCACGCACACCCTCTCGTTGCCAAAGCTAAAGGACGTTGGCAGCTCCCAGGGAGGCACGACCAGGTGTCTGAGATGGTAGTTCAGACTGAGCTCTGGCCGTGTTAGGGTGAGGCTCTCAGAAAGGACAGAGCGTGAGCCTTGGGAGATGAGGGACTCGTGCCGGCAGCAGGCCTGCTCTGCTCTGCGTCACAGGGAGGGCGTGCGACCGACCCTGCAGCCTCCACAGGGGCCAGGCAGCAGAGGAGGACTCGGCAGCAGGCCAGGGTCCAGGGTTGGATGGAGGCATTTGGAAACATAATGGAACAGGCTCTGCACTACTGGAAGGTGCAGTAGTCCCACAGAACTAGCACTCTGCCAACCTCCAAAGTGCGTTTGACTCTCACAGTCACCTTCTAGTGGTCCACTTGGGCATGCTGCCCCATCGCCCAACCCCAGGAGACTGTTTCCTTTCTTCGTCAGAGATATGCTGGGCCATGCTGACAGTACACATGGAAAGTCAGAGTCGGCCATGGCCTGAGGTTCGTGAAGCCCAGACAATTCAAGAACCAGGGCTCCTCTCAGCTCGCTCACGCCCTAGCCACGAGTCCTGAGCTCTTCCCAGGCCCTGCGTGGTGGGTCACATCTGTTCTGGGTGGTCACTCCAAGGAGGGTTTCCCTGTGCCTAAAGCACCGGTCACAGTGCCTGGGGAATACAGGCACACTTGCATGACGGGCAGGTGGCTGTTCCTGTGTTATCCTGGAGCCCCAGGCCTGGCCCCTCTGAGATGCTGCTGTTGCTCTCCTGTTCTCCAGGAGGTCGCAGAGAAAACTCTGCCGAACGTGCATGGACCCTCAGCCAAACAAAGAATCCTCCTAGAGGACACCTGCAGTTTCCGCACGTGGAGGAGCACGGTGGGACTCAAGCAGCGAGATGTGGAGTCCAGGACCAGCTCCATCCCACCCTCCCAACTGCTCTCCCACCAACATCACTATTTCATGGGATGATTACCACAATGTGGTTCTGCCTAACATTGGCCAATGATACTGAAGATGAGCTACCCGCCATGTCTAATAGTTAGCACCTGCCTTTGCAGCCTGGCACAGTAGCACTGCCACCGTCCTCTGACCTCACTCTCCGGGAGATCCGCCCTTATCTCTCAGGAGTGCCCTGCACCTGAGGGCCGTTGGTCATTTGATTCTGGCTCTGTGTTCCACTGCACCGGGACAAGCGTCCAAGACACATTCTGCAAGACGCACGCTGCAGACGGATGCTCCTCTGCCGTAGCTGACACGCGGAAACACCTGCACGGAGAAGTATTCGACTCACGGCTTTTCTCAAGTCAAACCCACACTGCCTGAGCCTCTGACCTCCTGCCCCACCCAGCTGCACCGTAGTGAGCTTCCGCAGAAGGGGTGTGGTTGCACAGACCCCACAAAGGGTCCACTCCGCACCCTCACGCTCCCCTGGTGGCCCACCTGCTCAGCCTTCCTTCCCTGGCTCTGTGGGTCTCCCAACATCTCAGCGTCTTCCTCCTACCATGGCCGGCGCTGGACTGTACCCTTGTCTGGGAGGGTGTGTGTGGCTGTCCCACAGCTCCACTCCCGGTACAAGGCCTTCTGCAGAGAACTTGTCCAATGCATGTCTCAACTTCAGAACGTTTTCAATACGCGTCTCTAGCCTACTTTATTTGTTTACATGTTATCAGTTGTCTAAGATAACACTTTCTAATTTTGGAGGCAGAAGAAAGGGGAAAAGGGAAATCAGGAGCCAACGACTTCTTCATCTATTTTATTAACTGCATCGCTGTTAACTTGTTCACATTGTCCAAAGAAAGAGCTCTTGCACTGCTGTCATTTGCTCCTCCGACTTCAACATAAGATACACTCCCCAGTTTGTGGCTAACACAACAAAATTCTTCCCACTCAAAGTGCACAGCAGCAATAGATGTGTGACAACTGGGACTCCCCAACCCCCGTGATGTGATGAACATATTTACACCCTGATCGTCGGGAGCCATGTGTTTCAAAATACAAAGATCCGCTTGTTGTACATCAATGAAACAAAACAAGAGAACACAAACGCTACCCAGTGCCTGCACTCCAACCCACCCTGCCTTGTAGCACTCTGACCGCTGACCAGAGTCCTGAAGGAAGAATGGACCCAGACTTCCAAAGGGTGGGAAAAGTGGCTGGCAGTGCGCCTGGCTCAGGCTGCATCTCCCAGTTGGGCCCTCTGGTTCTCCTCTCTCAAAGCCTCTAGATACAGAGATGCATAGGATTCGGGCTCCACAGAATAGTACCTGGCCAGGTACTGCAGGACTCTCATCTTGGTGGTTTCAGCACGGGTCCTGGGACCCCACAGGAACTCATAGCGAGCAGGCTCACTGCAGGGCACCTGTCGGTACTCAATGTACCTTTCCCGCACCCACTCTTCAGTGAGGAGCCGCCGGGGCTCCCCGTAGATGTAGTGCTCCCTACCATCATATATTTCTAACACACTCAGTGCTTCCCACAGCTCCTCCTCAGAGACACGGTTGCCGTTCGAGAAGATCAGGCCCAGGACCATGATCAGGAAGCTAGTCTTGGGCATGCTCCTGTCATGATCCTGCATCCCATTGTAGGTGAGGCCCAGGGCGGTTTCGAGCACATAGCACTGACGAACGGGGTCGACTTGCTTTACGTGTATGCCCAGGGCCACCTGGATGCACTCAGACACCTTCCTGAACATGAAAGGGAAGTATGCTTCGTACTCTTTGGTCACATGGGACAGCATCTCTGCCTTGGTGATCGGCTCCTTCAACCGATATTTAAGGAGGAGGAGCTGCAGCAACTCAGCCATCTTTAGCTCTAGTGCGTTATGCTGGGCCCTAAGCTCTGCTACACCCAGACAGGCCCCTGCGCCACCCCGGGACTCACTCCCTGCAGTGGCAACTCTGCCAGTGCCAGAGGAGGTGCTTGGACGGCTCGGAGCGTGAATCGGGGGCCCAGCAGCAGACACCTCCCTTTGGGTAGGCAAGGCCGGGGTAGAGGAGGCGGCGGCAGTGGACTCCTGTTCCTGAGACACAGGAAGCCTCACCCACGCCCTGCCAGGTGCCCCTCCTCCAGCCTGCAGTTCTCCCTCCAGCCTGCAGAGCCGACTCTTCTGATGGTGAGGCATCATGGCTATCTTGGGGACAGCTGGCAGACAGGTGAGTGACAGCCGGGCGATGCGACCACAAGCCTGGGGAAGAGAGGGAGGGTGTGATGGCTAAGCTGGATGCCACAGCCTCCCTCGAGGGGAGAGATGAAGGCCCACTTGCATGCCTTCTCTTTGGGTGGCGGGCAATGAGCGCCACACGGGGCTGCTGGGCCGCTGCTGGGACTGTGCCCTGAGCAGAGGAAGGAGGAAGGGAACCACTTGGCTTCCCAAGGGAGCAGCCATGCACACGTGGAGGCCAAGTTTCCCTTATGGACGGCCGGCGGGGAGGGGTGCGACTGCACGCTGTGGGGTCACCTGTGTCCACTTTCAAGGGACACTCACCTTGACTCCTGGCACTGCCTGGCCCTCTTTCTTCTCCGTGACCTGAACACACAGACTCAGACTGAGACCGTCACCACAAATGTGAGCTCCTGCAAAAGAAATTGTGGGACATTCAAGCTACACAGACTGCAAGCAGCCCCACTGGAAGCCCGGGTCTGACCAGAGGATGGGCCAGACACTGCGAGGTCCCCACTGTGCTGGGGTGGACCCATCTGTCCCCTCTCTGCTTGCTCAGGATCCTCACTCCCGACATGGTCTGGACTCCACCCCCTCTGCTGGCCTGGGCAATGTGTCTCCTCTTCCAGAGGACACAAAAGGCCCTGCGAGCCTCACATCCGGCCATCCCTGCCCATGGGCCACAGCAGCACGTGGCCATATCCACAGGCCCAAGCATCCTGGAGGGACCCTCCTGCTCAGTCCCCACCACGCCAAATGGCAGAGCCTGAATCCCCGGGTCTGTTTCCTGAAGCCGCTTGCTTAAACCAGAGCCCTGTCCCCGTGAGCTGCCCCAAGTGCAAGAGCTGCAAGGCAATGCACTCCTTCCCTCTGTCTTCCCAGGGCTGAGATAAGGGGCAGGGTGAACCTAGAACATTCTGTGTTCCAGGGAGCAGTTCCCCTCTGGCATCTCCTTGACACCCAGCAAACCCACACCCTCTCTCTTCTGACCTACGCCTAAGTCCCACCTAGCAAGGCCTGAGAATACCCATGAGCAAGTATGCGGAGTCTCAGCCTGCCTGGAGATTCCTGCGGGCCCCGTTCTCTCTTCCGGGCTGCCTGTACCCTGAACACTTGTTGTTGACCCTGGCACTGGCACACGAGAGAGCATGGGATCTGTGTGTCAGGTCACCAGTTGGTTTCCCTGTGTGCGCCAGATATCCCCCACTCAGAACAAGTTCCTCACTTCCCTGGTTGCACCCATGGGGGTTGAGGTGGTGCCTACGTTGTCACCATGTGTGTGGGGTCCCCAGGGATGCCAACAGAATGCCATCTCTTGGCCTGCAGGTTCCTTAAGTTCCCCCGGGGCCTTATTTCATCTGGAAGACTCCTGGCAGCGCGTGCCCCTCCTCATCCCACTGCAGCTCTCCCTTTTGACCAAGACCTCCACTGCCTTAGGACTCAGCACCTGCTTACTCCCGGGAGAAGCCAGTATGCCACGTAGGGCTACTCTTGAGTCAGTCCCCTAGGGGTAGACAAGACATTCAGACTCAGTGAGGCTCCCCACTTCCTTGGCTGTGGGCATCTTCAGACCTCACCAATATCCGCCAGTGCGCACCTTGGGTCCTGGTAGATCCGGGCACTCCTGCCTCTGCTGGTCCACTCTGCTTTTCTGGGCCACAGCACCTGCCTCCTGGTGCAGATCAAAGACCTGGGAGACCCAGGTGAGTGTGCACCACACCTGGTCAGCCTGCATGAGGTTTCCAAAGAGAAATGAGATTTCATGGGGCCCTGCCCCGCCCTGCCCTGCCCTGCCCTGCCCTGCCCGGGGTTCCTCAAGGTATGCATACATGGTCCTGAGAGACCCAAGGCCCTTTCGCTTCTCTAAGTGCAGACACGTCTTGCAGACCAAGAATACCGTCTCCCTGAGATCCCAAAAGAGGCTGCTTTGGGCAATGTCTCCCCACACTCCAGTCACTTCCTGCAAAGGCCCTCGTAGATCAGGTGCACACATGTGGATGAGAGAAATCCACCAATGTCCCCTTGGCGGTACTGGAAGTTACCCTCTGCTGACCTGAGGGCAGCAACTGCCTTCAGGAGGCCACCTCTCTGAAAACTTGAAACACTATAGTCGCATGGCCTGGTGTCTGTGGGACTGCGAGCAGGGGCAGAGTTGCACCCTGCATTCTAGAACGAGAATGATGGGTCCCTCTGTGTCTGCCCTGGACCCAGGCCTGACGGCAGGGCCAGCTGATGTGGCGCCCTGTTTCTGGAGCCTTCCTTCCCCCTTGTCTGAGAGGAAGGCCCTCCCGTCTCTCTGCCCCGCGGGGGGACTGTGTGTGGTTCCCAGCACCAAGAACAGGGGCAGAATTTCGCCTTCCTTGTAGATCAGAAAGGCCGCGGCCCTCAGTCCACCACGGGGCCTGTTTCTGGCTCCTTCCCTCCCCCTTGTCTGAGAGGACGGCCCTCCCTTCTCTCAGGGCCCCACGGAGGGACCACACAGCTCGGCCCCACGTGAGGGACTGTGTGGGGTTCCCAGCACCGAGAGCAGGGGCAGAATTGCCCCTTCCTTCTAGAACAGGAAGGCCGCGGCCCTCAGTCCACCGTGGGCCCTGTTTCTGGCTCCTTCCCTCCCCCTTGTCTGAGAGGAAGGCCCTCCCGTCTCTCTGCCCCGCGGAGGGACCACACAGCTCGGCCCACGTGAAGCTCCTCCCAGGGCTGACCGCAGGGCACGGTGGCCTCGGGCCCCAGTCTTGGGGTCACGGGGACCCCCTCACTGTGGTGTCTCTCAGGGCCTGTCCCGAACCTCCGGGCACCCTGGTCCTTCCTCCCCGTTTCCTTCCAGGGAGAGCCATGCAGAGTCGCAACATGTACCATGGAGACTCCGGGCCCAGCGCCCCACGCCGGCCCTGCGGGGCACGGCCAGGAGAAGAGCAGTAGACCTGGGTTCTCCGGGGCCCCAGTGAGGGCCTGGGGCTTCCTGGGTTCCCTCCCACCGTGTCTCCGTCGCCTCCTCAGAGCCAACGCTACACGTACCTCAGCCAGTCATCTTGGACCAGGCGGCGGAAGTCGGGGGAGCACTCCCCATCCGGGTCACTGGGGGCGTCAATAACCCGTATGGGGGCGTTGCATTTCTCGGGGCCCCGGGGCTTCATGAGGCGCCTCCCCTTGCTGCCTGGTGCAGGCCGGAGCTCATGTGCTCTGCCGATGTGGGTCGCCTCCCGTCTGACCAAGGCTCTGACCCTAGGCTCCTCCGACGTGCCACTGGCCAGAGGGCAGTGGTGCGGCTCCCCGTGCCGCGTGGGGTCCTTCAGGGCCTGGCCCAATGTGGGTGGGGTACACCATCTGTCCTCGGGTGTTGGGGAGGGAGAGGGCCGGTCCCCTGCAGGCTTCTGGCTTAATTGATCCTGCAAGCCTGATGTCCCTGCCACCCGGAGTCCCTCTTCCAGGGCAAGTGTAGCGCCAACAGTCTGCACGTGGCAGGCCAAGTGCTCCGTGGCACGTGCAGGACTCCTGAGTGTGACCCTTGGATGGAGGGCGTGCCCCCCCCCCATGCCTTCAGCAGCCAAACGCATCACGTACTTGAAAGGCTCCTGGAATATTTGCTTTAAAATATATGCTATTTGCGTGTTTTAATATAAAGAGCATAGAGGGCGTGTGTCTCCACGATCTACTTCTAAGAACCACTGGGCCTGGCTCGATGGCTTAATCGGCTCATCCTCCCTTGCAAGCGCCGGCCTCCCATATGTGTGCCGGTTTTTATCCCGGCAGCTCCACTCCCCAACTAGTTCCCGGCTTGTGGCCTGCAAAAGCTTAGGAGGATGCCCAAAGTCTTGGGGCCCTGCACCCACTGAGAGACCCAGAGGAATCTCCTGACTCCTGGATCCCATGGGCTCGGTTCTAGCCATTGCGTCCATTTGGGGAGTGAACCAGAAAGGAAGATCTTTCTTTCTCTCGTTCTCTACCTTTCCAATACAAATAAATCAATCTCTCTCTCTCTCTTTTTTTTTTATATAAGGAAGTATTTCTGTGCTTTCTTCCCTCCTTCCTTAATTTCTGTTAATAATTGGGATACCATACTTCCAGTTGATTTTATAATCATACGCTTAAGAGTCCACTGAATATTATATCCATTTAGTTGTGAAAAACATGAACCACATTCGGAGTTTGCAACCAAAGTGCCTGGACAACGCACATTATGAGACAAATGTGCGTATGTTCCAGAGTTGTTTTTAATTAAATTAAACTAATCTTTCATTTTGAATTTTTTGTTTTTATTTGTTGGACAGAGTGGGGGACAGACATGCAGCTTTCATTCATCAGAAATAGATTTTATTCTAAAAATGAAAGCATCATCTATTTTACATAAAGTCTAAATACAAAAATTTGTAATCCTCTTCGAACAAGTCGGTCTGTACACTTATTGGAAAAAAAAAAAAAAAACTGAATTTGGTCAGACCAAAGGGTACAGAAACGCCTGGGAATACACGTCAGGAATTCATCTCTGAGATGGTCACACTATTAATTTCCTGGTAATCATTCAATATCCAATCTATGCGAGCCAGTCATTGCAGCCAGGGCATTGGTCACTCTTCCACTTGCAACAACCTACAAGGAAGTGGTCTGTGAAACCATTTCGCGAGTGAAGGGCCTGGGGATGCTAGGCTTGTCCTGGTAGTTTTGCAGGAGAGTGCGGCTAGTAGGAGCTCCCACGTAGCCTACACCACTCCTACTCCCTCCTGCCTGAGGCACTCCTGTGTCTGCTAATGCATGTCTCTGTTCCAGTTGCTACAGTGTCTCTCAGATAACCAAAGGAACCTAATATCCATGGCACAGCTGAAAGAGGAGGTGACCTGACAATGAAACTCGGTCCCAGGGCTCTCTAACACAAGGCCCTCCAGCCTGGGTCCCAGGGTTCCTTGCATGTGGACCCTCCCCAGGAACTGGCAATTCCATCTGGTCTGTACAACTGTGTTCTTCCCCTTGGCACCCTCTTTGTGCATGCCTTTGCCATCACTGGATCCTGGCTTGCTCCTGGCTCATCAGTGGTCCCATGGAGCAGCTGCCTGGGATCCCCACCTGTCTCCCAGACCTAGGACCCTCCTAATCATGGCAGGAGTGCCCTGGTTCCCCCACAGCTCACCTTGGAGCTTCTGTAATGGGCAAGCCACTTCCAAGAAAAGGTTTGCTTTGGACAATTACTTACGTGTCTGCTCCTCCTCTCGAAGTGCCTAAATGCTCTGTCCTTTCCACATAGGTACTGAGTGGAATGTCCTGCAGCGTATGGTCTATCAGCACTCTGGTTTTAACTTACAATGCTTTCCTTTGACATGTTTGTTATAGAGGTGAGGAGATTGGAGACCCTTGTGGGTCTCTGGGCAAGATGGGAAGGGATGGGGTAGGAGTTGGGCATGAGGCAGAACCCCCAACTCTCCTGTGACAGGGTGGAGGAGATGTTGCACAGCTCCCTGCTTCTGGACCACTCAGTGCCAGGGGGAAAAGATGGTACCGTGGTTTTGTCCCAGGGGCCCTGATGGGGGAAGGAAGTCCTGAGGCCGTTGCTTGAGGAGCCTGCACTGTTCTGATAGAGTACGAGCTTCTTTGCACCAGGTGTGAGATGCCACTTCCCATACTTGCTAGCTGCCTATGACTGTTTCAGCATGTCCATAGCCTCAGATGCTTGGCGGAGAATTTGGCCTGTAGCATTGCTCAGCCTGCTCTGCCTTCCATCTTCCGGAGAGGCACTCAAGGTCCTCTGTTGAAACAGAGAGACTGGCTGACCCACCTTCCATGAGCAGCCCAGCTTCCTTCCAGAGAGTCAGCAACAGGGGCACCTCTGCCCCCACAACATGTACCCCAAGGCCAGACCAGACATCCTTGTGGTGTTCCCTCAGCTAGGGGATCAGGTGGAGTGGACCCATTGGGCCCACTCCTAACAGCCACGACAGGGTTGGTCCCCAGATCTGGTTCTTGCATGCACCAGCAGGCGCTTCAACCCAGCTCAGCTCTGCCCATCGCCAGACCCAGCCCTGCCTGCACCAGTGGGTGCTAAAACCTGGCCAGGACCACCCCCAGACCTAACTCTCAGGCACACCAGCAGGTGCCACAGCCTGTGCCAGCTGGGCCCCAATCCAGCCACTGATTTGTACCAGTGAGTGCCGTAGTCTTGCTGAGAAGACGCTTGTGGATCCCTTCCGGGCCTGCCCAAGTCCCAGTCTTTCCTGTGCCTGCAGGTGTTGTGGCCAGGTGACAGTGATTCCCCAAGAATCCCAACCCGCAGCCTGAGACCTAGCTCTTTCTTATACTTGCTGGGGGTGCTATAGCCTCATAGGAGCAAGCACTGAAGCCCCTTGCAACCATCCTCACAGCCCAGGCTCTCACACTCAGCCGTGGGTGCTGAGGCCCAGCCCAGGGCAGCCCAGCCCAAAACCAGCCCTGGCTTTTACGTGTGCCAACAGGTGCTGGGGCCTCATCCAGCCCAGCTTACTCACAACTCATGCCAGTGACACTACCCTGCACTGCCCTGCCGGGAGTCCCACCAGCTCACCCCAACTTCTTACACTCCCCGCCTTTCTTTTGTTTGTTTGTTTCCAAATATGAGAACATCTCTCCATCTTCCTCTTCCCAGGATGGTTACTGCCGCTGGACTCCACGTTTCTCTGGTAGGTGAGTGTGCCTGTCTCAGCATCTACCGTCCTAGCACAGGGCTTTCCAAAGTACAGATGCTCAGTGGATGCACACTGATTCAGTGAGGCTGTGAGTTAGCTAACTTGTTTATTAAGCCTTAATTATTTTTACACTTCCATATAAAGCATTCTACAGAGCAAAGCAGTGAGTGAGTGACCATGGAACTGCACATACACACATGCAGACACTGCTTAGACCTCAGGGTGACAGAAACACATTGTATGTATCAAATGGGGTGGGGAGAAAAGTAACTTCCAAGTAAGCTACACAGAAAGGTCACAAAAGCCACAGCCTGTGTTTGTGTTTCTAAAGCCCCTCTGTCCCTCTGCTAGTCAGAACTCTCACTGCCATCTTCCCGTGGAGAGCAACGACCAGGATGCCTTTCACAGGGCGCAGCACAAGCTGCTGGCTCTGTCCCTACCCTGCCCCCCTCACTCCCAGTGGCCCTGCCTGCATCTGCTGCCTCAATGCCCACTTCCTCATCTCTCACACCCCCTTCATTTAACCTTGGGCAGAATCTGGGGTCATTCCTATTGAACCTGGCCAAATACTGCAGGACTCTCATCTCGCTAGTTTCAGCGTGAGCCCTTGGACCCCACAGGAATTCATAGCGAGCAGGCTCACTATGGGGCACCTGCCGGTATTCCAGGTACCCATCCTGAACCCAGTCTTTGGTGAGGAGCTTCCTGGGCTCCCCAAAAATGCAGTTGTTTCTCCCAATAAGCAACCCCATCATGCTCAGAGCTTCCCAGAGGTGCAGCTCAGGGACATGCCCACCCCCAATGATCACCAAGCCCAGGACGATGATCAGAAGGCCGGTCTTGGGCACGCTCTGGTCACCCCCCTGCACATCATGGCAGGTGAGGCCCAGTGCAGGGACCAGCACATACACATTGTCAGTGGTGTCTGCTTGCTTCATCTCAATGCCAAAGATCAGATGGATGCAATCAAAGGCTTTGCAGAAGATCTCGGGGAAGTGGTCTTCGTAATACACGGTGACACAACTCAGCATTTCTTCCACAAAGATCGGCTCCTGCCTGCGATACTTGAGGAACAGCAGCGCTACCAAGTCAGCCATCTTCTCCTCCAGTGCCCCTTGGAACAAGGACTCTGGGTCTTGCAGGCACTGCCAGGGGCTTGGGCCAGCCTCGTCTTGGCTGCTGGAGCTCTCCTCAGACTGGGTAAGTGCAGGTGAGCTGGTAGCAGGGGAAGAGGCTCTGTGGGGACTCCCGGGAGGACTCCCAGGAGGACTCCCGGATCCAGCAGCAACCTCCTTCTCGTGGGCTGCTGCTACCGGAGCAGAGGAAGAGGAGGAACCAGCAGCAAGGGCCTCCCCTTCTCCAAGCACGAGAAACCCAGCAGCTTCTTCTTGGGCCTGATGGTCTCCCTCAACCTTGGCAGGGACACTCTTCTGACCGAAAGGCATCATGATGACTTTCTTGGGGACAGCTGGCACAAGGGTAGGCAGCAGCTGGGGATGGGAGCCCTCAGGCCTGGGGAAGAGACAGGTGGTGTGAGTGACACCTGCTGAGAATTGCACCCTTGAGGCCGTGACAAAGGCCCCCAACCAGGCTTCCTCTCAGGGTAGGGAAAGAGGCCCTCAGGGGCCTCTCTGCTGCGGTTCGTCCCCCTGAGATGTGCAAGAGGTGCTCCCGTGAGAGACAAGGCTTCCCAGGAGCAGCCAGCGGCCAGCCAGCAGTGTGCTAGGCCACAATGATGGCAACAGTGTTGGTCGGGCCAGCTGCCCTGTGGTCCTCCCACTTTGGGATGGGTGGGGCCCTGAGCCCACTTTCACGGGCTACACCTTACCTTGGTTCCTGCCACTGCCTGTGCCAATGTGTTCTGTGGGCCGAGGGCACCGCTCAGGAAAAGCCCTCCACCAGCTCCTTGCCGCAGCTCCTGCATGGGAAGTGAGAGGATCCTAGGGCATCAGACCGCTGGCACAGCTCTAGTTCGTGAAGCTCACTGCAGGCTGTCCCACAGGCTCTGAGCATCCCCCTCTGCTCGTGTGTGGGCTCCCCTCCTGTGCTCACTCACACCCCTCACCGTTGATGTACTTAGTCTTGCACATATGGAAAGGGAAGGGCGCGTGTGTATCCCATATACACGGTGTTTAGAACAAAATGGTAGTTCCCGCCCTGCCTCTCCTCTTTCCTTCCCGCCCTCATTCCTACCTACACCATGGCTCATTTAGCTTTTAATGTTTACAGTAACGTGCTTTCAACATCATTATAACTGTGACTTACATGAAGAATTCAACAAGTTGTAGGAAGAAAAGCTACCGGGCCCGGTGTGGGAGCCTAGCAGCTAAAGTCCTCGCCTTGAACATGCCAGGATCTCATATGGGTGCCAGTTCTAATCCCAGCAGCCCCACTTCCCATACAGCTCCCTGCTTGTGGTCTGGGAAAGCAGTAGGGGACGGCCCAAAGCTTTGGGACCTGTCACCCGTGTGGGGAACCCGGAAGAAGCACCTGGCTCCTGGCTTCAGCTCAGCGCAGTTCCGGCCATTTGGGGAATGAATCAATGGACCGAAGGTCTTCCTCTCTGTCTCTCCTCCTCTCTGTATATTTGACTCCCCAATAAAAACAAAAATAAATCTTTTTTTAAAAAAGGAAGAAAAACTACTCTTTCTAGTGCAACAGACAAGGGCTGTGCAAACAGTCAAACCTAAAAATGCCAATTGCATTCACACCCATTTCATTCTTCGTAATCTCTAAATTAGTTATCACAAATCTTGGAAAACCCTTTTACGCTTTTGGGAGGAGCTGATTTCACTGAGCACGTAACGATCTCCTATTGCATCCATGCTGCTGGGAAACACCTGGTAGCAATCCTGTCCGGGCTGGGCAGAATTCCATGCTGTGTCTACGCCACGGCTTCTCTATCAAGCTGACCAGTCCTTTACATGAAAAATGCCATCTCCCTGACCCGTCCCAGACTGCCAAGCCCCGCTAGAAGCGCATTCTTGTGGCAGCATACTCCTGACACGGTCTTTTCAGACCTGAGAACCAGGCTATCAAAGCCGTGGGTCCTTCCTGCTGGCCTGCGGGTACTTGGAGCTCTCAGCAATGGCATACCCCTGGCGTCCTAGCGGCCACTAAGACATCTCGCCCTGCCCATCAAGTGTGGCTTCCTGAGCACAAGACCCAGACACACTGAAATACCCCTCCCATCCTCTTCCAGACTCTTCTCACTAGACCCTGGCAGAGCTGGTCTAGTGAGAAGACCCCTCTTTGGAGGATTACGAGACTTGGTTTTAAGCTCTATGATAGGCACAGGTGCAAGAGAAAGAAACAGACAAAGAGAGAGAGAGAGAATCTCGCTTCCACTGCCCCGCCAAACCCTGCAACACACACAGACACACAGACCATGGCTCAGTAGAGCCCAGGAGCCAGCATGGGTCTCCCCCGTGCTGCCGGAGGCCCCAGTCCTCAGGCTGTGCTCAGCTGCCTTCTCAGGCACACTGACGGGGCACTGGATCCCAAGAGGAGCCCGAGGACTCACATGCTGGCTTGGCCAGCAGCGCCTTAGCTCAGGGCCCTCGCTCCAAGGCAGCCACCACCGGCTGGCTCCCCTCACCTCTCCTGGGGCCCAGGGGTCCGGGGTGGGACAGCCACACGTGGAGGCCCCCGTGGGGCAGACAAGCAGGGGCTGGAGGCCGGCACTGCGGGCCCTGCTGCGGGGCACAGGCGGGACCCTCAGGGCCTCCCACCACCTCCTCCCTCGGGCGAGGTCTGGCCACCCCCACCCTCGGCCGAGTTCACCGAGTTCACCGCGTGCCCTCGAGGCTCGGACTCCCCGGGGCCCCGGATGTAGAAAGGGCGTGGGCCAAGGTGATCAAGCCGTGGCAGGCAAGAGACTGGAGAGAATTGGGCCCTTTGGGGACCCTCCACGTGGGACGGGGCGGGGATGCCTTTGGGCGCCGCTCAGTTTCTCACCAGAGCCCCGACCACAGAGCGCGGGCGGCCGAGCCTCTGCCCAAGAGAAGGGCAGCTCCCTGAGGGAACGCCGCCCGCGAAAGCGGAAGTGAGGGGGCGTCCGCTCACGCCAGGCCGGATCTTCTGAGGGCCGTCGCAGTGGGTGCGGAATTCCCCCAGGACTCCCTGTCTGCTTTCGGGGTCCTCACCTGTTGGCAGGCACACCCGCATTCCTGCCGCCTGTAGACTCGGGGCTGACCCCAGCGACCCAGGGTCTGCTCCCAGAATCTCCGGACAGTGCTGGTCGGCATATTCGGCAGAGGCTGAGCACCCTGCCTACATCTTGGTGCCCTCCCTTCCCCTGAGCTCCTCATTTTGGTGCCTGGCAAAGCTTGGATCCCCGACTCGGGCCAGCATGTCCGTTCCCCTCAGAACGAGGCTCTGGAACTCCGGTGTCTGTGGTCGTCCACAGAAAGGAGTGAGCCGACTCCGTGCCGGCTGGGCTGTGGGCGTGCTCAGAGCAGGAAATGGGCCGAAGCTCCTGGGGTGTGATGGGTTCCGCCATTGGGGGTCCCTTCACTGCTTTGTCCCCTCACCCACGTCTTCTATATGCCCCCCACTTCCCCCGCAATGATTGGCCTGTTCGTGTTGCCTGCTAGCGGCTGCCTCTGGGTACCTGTCGGGGTAGGGTAAAGAGAGGGGATAGAGTGAGAAAGACAGAAGTGTCTTGTACCATCTCATTTACTGTGCAAACATATCCAATGGGTGGAAAAGCTCCAGGTCCAATATTGGAAGCTTAATTTTAATTTATGCCTCCTGCGAGGGTCAAGGGTACTTAGATCTTATGACTTCGTCTGTTTCCTGGAGTATATGGTAGAGAAAACGGCATTGGAACAGAAGAAAACATTTTCGGACCAAGGTCTCTGATACAGCAGGATTCTCAAGAGACTAAATGATGCATCCAATATCTACATAACTTTTTTTTTTTTTTTAGTGTTTTCTTTTTACTCTGCGGTCTGTAGTACTGAATCTGGGCTACATTGCAATACAGAAGCATAGAGGTGCTTGCATACAATACATCGTAGCTTACTTGAATGAAATGCACCTGACATTTCATATAAAAGCATGTTTGCTTTAATTTATTTTTTATTTTTTCCCTTTTGCTTCAATTTTAAGAGAAGGAAATTCCAGTGTTCATCCTCTGACTTAGACAGTTTCCATCTTCTGATTCGCTTTCCCAATGTCTCACGTGTGGCAGTCCAGATTTTGGAAACTCATTCCTGTTGTCTCATATGAACAGCAGAAATCCTGTCACTTGAGCCATCACTTCTGACTCCCATGGTATACATTAGGACTGTGTTTCAGTGAGGGCCTTACAACTGTTTTTTTTTTTTTTTTTTTAAGATTTATTTTATTTTATTGGAAAGTCAGATATACAGAGAGGAAGGTCTTCCGTCTCTTGATTCACTCTCTAAGCAGCTGCAATTGCTGGAGTTGCGCCAATCCAAAGCCAGGAGCCAGGAGCCTGGAGTCTCTTCTGGATCCCCCATTTGGGTGCAGGGTCCCAAGGTTTTAGGCCGTCCTCGATGGCACCTCTGCTGGTCTTCGATGGCACCTCTGCTGGTCTTTCAATTCCTTCAGTCTTCTGATCGCAGACTTGACTGTGACGGCAGAAGTGGTGTTGTACATCCAGGCCCCCGCCCCCCCGCCACTGTCTTGATGCAGGAGCCACAGTGCCAGATGCCCACGGCATGCCTCTTCATCTTGGTTTTGCCACAGAAGGAGCAGGTGTACTTGGCATGCTGGCTGATTTCAATCTTCTTCACCATCTTCCAGAGGGAGGCACCATAGCTGGTACCGTATTTACCCGCCATGTTGACGCCATAGAGGTCCGAGCCCAGAGAGGAAGAGCAGCTGTGCGCAGTCGCAGTTTTAGGCAGGCAAGCGGAAGCAGCGCCCCTACAACTATTTTAAACTCGAGGTGTATGAAATAGGATGAGCCAGCACTGAACAGGCACAGGCATGCTAACTGGTTTTCTAAATGCCTGTCTCTGTAAATTCCAATTTCACCTTAGTTTGCTGAAATAATTAGATGGATTTTCTTTCAGAGGGCTTTTCTGCACTCATAAACATGACCAAATGTTTTTTTTTTTCATTATGTTTTAGATACAGCTTTAAAATTAAGAATTATTCTGGGCTTGGCGTGGTAGCCTAGTAGCTAAATTCCTTGCCTTGCATGCGCCAGGATCCCATATGGGTGATGGTTCATGTCCTGGGGGCCCTGCTTCCCAACCAGCTCCCTGCTTGTGGCCTGGGAAAGTAGTCGAGGACGGCCCAGTTCTTTGGCACCCTGCACCTGCGTGGGAGACCCACAGGAGGCTCTGGGCTCCTGGCTTCAGATTTGCTCCTTCATTGCCACTTGGGGAATGACTCAGCAGAGAGAATCTTCCTCTCTGTGTCTCCCTCTCTCTGTATATCTGCCTTTCCGATAAAAAAAAAAAAAAGCAAATCTTTAAAAAAACTAAGAATTATTCCAAGGTTAAAAAACAAAACTTTAATTTCTTGAATACAATCCCATTTAAATATGCTATTAATTTCTTGGATGTATTTGCTCCTCTCCAGATAAACACAGCCCATATGAGCTTCCCATAGGGAGTGGATCTTCATGTGACTTTGTAGTTTTTGTATTTTTTCATTTCTACTACTAACTGTATGCTTGATATTTTTCTTGATTTTCTAGGTTCTATAAGTTTTAAAATCATTTATTTGATATTCTCCCAATGTTTTGTAATAGGCGCTCATTCCTATAAACTGTGCTCTTAATACTCCTCTTGCTGTATTTCATTAGACTGTTGTGTTTTTATTTCATTTGATTTCTTGCATTACCTACTTTTCATTGACCCACATGCAGTTCTGTCTCCATGTACTTGTGTGTATTTTACAGTGTTTTAAAAAAGATTTATTTTATTTTTATTGGAAAGTCAGATATACAGAGAGAAGGAAGACAGAGAGGAAGATCTTCTGTCCGATGGTTCACTCCCCAAGCGGCCACAACGGTTGGAGCTGAGCCAATCCGAAGCAGCAACTGGAAGTCTCTTCAGGGTCTCCCATGTGGGTGCAGGGTCCCAAAGCCTTGGGCCATCCTGGATTGCATTCCCAGGCCACAAGCAGGGAGCTGGATGGGAAGCGGGGCTGCCGGGATTAGAACCGGTGCCCAGATGGGTTCCCAGCGCATTCAAGGCGAGGACTTTAAGCACTACACTATTGCGCTGGGCCCTTTCTCCTTGGTCTGTCTTAACAGTTTTCACATACTTTATTTTATCTGATATAAAATAGCTACTTCTATTCATTTCTGATTCTAATTTCCTATTTGTTCACTTTCAGTGAAATGTGTATCTTTATTATTGAAGTGTGTTTCACATAGGCTGCATATAGCTGCATCTTTTATTAATCCAGTCTGTACCTTTAATTAATAGAATATTTAATCCATGTACATACATGTTTATTATTGGCAGGTAATGACTCAGTTTTACCATTTCCCATAAATATTCCTATTTGTTTTGAAATGTCACATTGTGTTTTCTGTCTTCACATTTCATCATGATGATTAATATCTTAATTTCTCTGTGTAGTGCATCCTTAAGTATCATTTGCAAAATTGCTTGGGTAGTGATGGTCCCATGGGGCATCATTTAAAAGCTATTTGTTGCTTCTGACTTGCACATTTTAGAATATTTTCTTTTTTAAAGATTTATTTTATTTTATTGCAAAGTCAGATATAAAGAGAGGAGGAGAGACAGAGCAGAAGATCTTGCATCTGATGGTTCACTCCCTGTGGCCGCAACAATTGGAGCTGAGCCAATCCGAAGCCAGGAGCCCGGAGCTCTTCTGGGTCTCCCACACGCGGGTGCAGGGTCTCAAGGCTTTGAGCTGTCCCCTACTGCTTTCCCAGGCCACAGGCAGGGAGCTGGATGGGAAGCAGCACTGCTGGGATTAGAACCGGTGCCCATATGGGATCCTGGCAGGCTCAGGGCGAGGCCTTTAGTCATTAGGCCATGGCACTGGGCCCAGAATATTTTCTTTCAAATATTTGAGTATGATGTGTTATGGTGACTATCTTTTCTGATTATAGCTGTTTCAAATTCTGTATTTTCCTGTATTTGGATGTTCATATCACTGTAACTGGATAATTCTGCACTATTTTACAGAATAAAGTTCCTAAGTATTTTTTTCTCTGTAACTTGAGGAAACTTTAAGTCACATATATTGGTCATTTGATGGTGTCTCACACAACCCACACACTGTTGTTGTTTTGGCTATTGGTTTTATAATTATTTCTCAGATATTTCCAAAGACCTTTCCTGTAGATTAGGTGTTGTTTCTTCTGCCTCACAAAATTTGTTATAAAGGCTTTCCACTTTTATTAGATTTATTAAGAGCTTCATTTCATTTTCTTCTGCATTTTTTCTGTATTTCTACTGCATTTCAGAATGTTTTATCCATGTTGTGTACAGATTTCCTGCTTTCATGCAACTATTTCTCTGTGTTTACAAGTAATCTTAGAATCATTCTTTTGAACTCACTTTCAGGCATTTCATTAATCTTTGTTTTTTCATTGCTCAATATTAATACATTGTTGTATTCCATTTGGCGGAGTCATATCACCTTTCATGTCTATATTTCCTGTATTTCTGTGTTGGTTTTTATGTATTTGCAGGATAACATGTTATCCCCTGTGGGGGTTATGTGTGTGTGTGCATAAAATATATATAACTTGATTGAAGGCATTATTCTGAAATGTGCCTCTCAGGTGTGGATAACATTTGAGGCGTTCTTTTGGCTCCTACACTGTATGCTGGGTAGGGCCATGGAGCACTGTTTATTGTGCCATGAGAATCCAGAGTCAAAAGGCACAAGTTCAAGTTGGATGTGATATAGTACTTTGGCCTCAGTCAGTAAGGGGAGATGTTGAAATCAGGTAATGTGTTCACAACCCCAGCCTTTCTCTATGCCTAGATGTAACACAGATTTACAACACAGTTAGCATGCAGTGCTTGGGCACCTTATCAATCCAGGCACACACAGCATACAGAACACTGACTCACTTCATAATATGTCCCTTTGACCCTCTGTGAGATCTGCCCCCAGTGCACAGGGAGCTGCAAGGATCTGCAGTCAGACCGCACGGGTGCACAGAAAACTAGTCACAATCTGTGTCCCTCCCTGCTTTATAACCTTTGTGCACCCTATGCATAGGTGAGTTACTGTCTCCCAGAGGTGCATAGGGTGCAGAGTCCATTCTCCACAATCTGAGCTTGCTTTTCCCTGCTGTGAGCTGCCTGACACCAGTCCCTGAATCATGACAGAGATCAGCTTCACCTGAGCTGATTTAGTCTGATTCTTTGACGGAGGGAGAGAAAAAAGCAATTTGACCTCCTTTCACAGAGCAAAGTGTATCAGCTGCCTGCCAGTTCTCTGCCAGGCCAGGCTCAAGGTCACTGGTCATTTAGGTTGTGGGACCTGCTCTCACCTCCCTGAAGATGAAGATTTTCAGCAAGTCACTGACTGTGTATACACAGGAGTTGCTTACTGCGCATGCCCTCAGCTTCATGCCTGCCCTCTCTCCTCATGGCTCTGAATTTCCTACTGTGTTTTGTTGATTTTCTACTGAAAAATTTTCTCAATCAGTCCTTTAAAAATATTGACTTTCCTTTCTTTTCCTGGTATCTGATGTCACTGCAGTTTCTCCTGATTCATCCATCTTTCCTTTTTTTCTTTTTTTGAGAGAAGCTAAGTTTTATTTAAGTAGGAAAAACAGAAAATTCAAATGATAGAATCAATCAAGAGGGGCTGATTCAGAGAACAGTGAGCCACGATATCTTACAATTTGGAGATATTTGTTCGTGTGTGCCAGGAATTTAAGGAGACTCACACGGTAGCAGATGCAAGGTAGATCAATGATCTTGCTTCATATGTCTGATTCAGTGGTCTGTTGGAATGCCGTATATAAGCTCAGTCTTCTAACTGTGGTCACTGTCTGTCACTTCGAGCATAGCAGAACGGTGTTGGGGAATGGAAAAAATGAGCACTACTCCTACCATGTTCTCCTTGCTGCCTCATTTACTCCTGCTGCTGTGCTGAATGTGGCAGGGACCATACACCAGTTGGTCCCAGACAGACCAATAGAAGGGGCCGATCACGCTAACTGTAGCTGGATCCTCATTCACATCAGGGCCTGTGGACTTAGTTTAGATTCCCGTGCAAGAATCCAGCTCTGACAGTGGCATCTGGGAGAGTAACAGAATCTCCCAGTGAATGAAGGAAGTTGGATAAATGAATAGGTGAACTGCAGTGGTCACTGCAAAGTAACCAGGAGTGATATGGAGACAGTAACTCATCCAGGCAGCTGCTTTTGTGCTCTTAACTCCCAAACCTGCCTGGGCACTGAGAAAAACCATCTCCCATGTTAGTAAAGTCAGCAGGGTGGGACGCCGTACAAAGTTTTCCAGGAGACTGTGCTGCATGGTACAAGATTCCTGGTTCCTTATTCTCAGCTATCTGCTCTGCTCTTCCTTCTCTCACTCCTTATGCTGCTGCTTGTATTTCTTCCCCCTTTGCTGCCTTGCTGTCATTGCCTGTGTAGCTCTCAGAGTCTAAGCTATCAGATTCTTTCCTGTCTCTATGTTTCTTCTTTCCTAGATTTTTTTTGTGAGGTCAGACTTCTTAAATTCTGCTGAGTTTGTCTCTCCCTTCTCCCCTCCCCTTCTACAATCAGTGAATATTTGGTCCCACCTGGCTGCATGAAACAGTCTCTTGTAAAATGAGCTTTACAGCCACACTTCTTGCAGGTAGTGTTCAGACCGGCGTCAAGGGTGGTCTTCTGCCTGCTGTAATCCTGGAAGAACTGTCTCTCTTCTTGCTCAATGATAGCGCTATTGGGATTCAGGTCTTTCCCAGTTCCTTGGTTAATAACTGTCATGGAGACAGACACTTTTATCCTATCATTTTTCGTCTCTTGACCATTACCTTTACCCACACTTCGTCTCAGAAATCTACAATCTCAGAGGGCTTATCCACCCAACAGGATGACATATGAGATTGATGGACCAGACCTTGCTTCCAACAGCCCGGGGTTTTGATAAAGGCTCCATAATCTGTCACCAAGGCAACCTCTCCTTGAAAAACAGTGTAGAGAAGGGGCAAGTTTTCCATGGTCTCAGGCCTTCCTGAATTCATTGTTAATGTTGTATTGCTCCTCCAATTCTCTTCTGCTAGACCTCATTCAGATGTCTTAGGATCAGCTTTACACCTCCCTGCCATTGCACTGTGCAAAATATCAACCCTAGTCAGCCTATATGTTTTTATCATATGTTTTTATCATATGTGACCTCTAAAAAAACAAAGGTAGTGGTTATACATTAGTTAATGCAAATGCTGCGTGCAGTCTTAATGAAGCCCTTTCTGGCTTTTTTTTTTTTAATCAAAATCTAGCTGCTGCCATCAAAACTGACATCTTGTCATTGGTGGTACTTCTTACATGGGGCTTCCATCTTGTTCTGCTTAGTGAGTATGTGTTAGGGAAGAGCAGCAGCATAACTGCTGGCAAGGAGCTGTGCAAGGGTATTAGTCTGGCCTACTTTTAGATCTAAGTTCCCTCATTCCCCCCTCTGTTTAAGGAAACCATAACCACAAATAAGGATTAGGGCAACAACTGCTCTGGCTTCTTCAAGCTGAGTAGAGGAGAAGTTGGGGCCCATACTCACACCACGGCTCCAGAAGGTGGCCTTTCCAGAGTACCTCAGTACCAACATGCAGGCACCATTCCATCCATCTTGTATCTAGCTGAGATTTTGTATTCAAAGTTTGATTCAGAGAAGTTGGTGCAGGTGTACTGTCTGCCAATGACAGAGATACCTGATACCTTGCTGTCCCACACATGAAGCTGAGCAGACTGAAGGCTATAGCAAATGATGGAAGAGCAGCATCAGGACATTGTTCAGTCCAGACCATGGCAGAATTTGGAAAGGAGCTGCCCTCCAAAGACTCTACCTACTGGATTCCGGGAACAGAGCTTAGTTATCTTAAAGATTTTTTAAATTGGAAACTCAGATATGGAGAGGAGGAGACAGAGAGGATGATGTTCTATCTGCTGATTCACTCCCCAAGTGGCTGCAACGGTCAGAGCTGGGCTGACCTGAAGGCAGGAGCCCAGAGCCTCTTCTAGGTCTCCCATGTGGGTACAGGGGTCCCAAGGCTTTGGGCCATCCTTGACTGCTTTCCTAGGCCATAAACAGGGAACTGGATAGAAAGCAGGGCTGCCGGGGTTAGAACTGGTACCCATATGGGATCCTGGGTGTGCAACACAACGACTTTAGCCTCTAGACTACCACACTGGGCCTGAGCTCAGTTATCTTCCAGACATTTCCATGGATCAATAAAGCCTCTATTCTTGAGATAACATGGCCCCAGTGCCGCCACGACCCTCTTGTCATCACAGGTAAGGTATACTGGTGCCTTGGCTTTGCCATTTCTTAGCTTTAGGCAGATTACTTACTTCTCTTACCTCCCCCTTTTTTTAAAGATTTATTTATTTTTATTGGAAAGGTGGATATACAGAGGAGAGACAGGAAAATCTTCCGTCCGATGATTCACTCCCCAAGTGACTGCAACAGCTGGAACTGAGCCAATCCGAAGCCAGGAGCCCAGAGCTCTTCCGGGTCTCCCACGTGGGTACAGGGTCCCAAGACTTTGGGCCGTCCTCGACTGCATTCCCAGGCCACAAGCAGGGAGCTGGATGGGAAGTGGGGCCGCCGGGATTAGAACCAGTGCCCATATGGGATCCCGGGCACGTTCAAGGCGAGGCCTTTAACCACTACACTATTGCGCTGGGTCCAACCCCCATTTCTTTATGGGAAAAAGTACAAAGTTCAACCTGCCTTATGGGCTTGGGAGGACTCAATTGAATTTGTAGGTAGCAGCACGTTCCCTTATATAGTCATAACTATTGCTCTTATTTTAGATGATTTTTGCAAGGGCCAGGGTCATAGCTAATGATCGCAGAAAGGCCACATCGGGGGCCTTTGGCTATCTCCATAAGATCTTTCAGACAATAACAAGTGGATTTTGTTTCAATCTTTGTGAACTGTTAACTGAATTAACATCTTACTAAAATGTAGCCGTAGCAAGGGTAAGCTAGGCGGCAATCACAGAGTACCTGGTTGACCTGTGAAATCTTGAGTGGTTGCCTTGTCCAAATGCTTGAAGATCAGTGCCAGGGTAATTTCCAATGTAGACCATCTTGGAACCCAAGAAATGCTCTGGAAAGTGTCTTGAGGTGTAACCATGATGGTCTGGCATTACCAAGCCAATGGAAAGAAGCCTGCCCTCCCTCCCAATGCCATTCCCTTTTGTCTTCCATATAGCCTTCTGGACGTAGTGCCAGCCCCACAAGCCTCAGCTGTCCAGAGTAGCTAGGGGCTGCCATTCACACTGGCTGAGAATCACGGGTTTCCCTGGCCTTTGGTGCGACAAGATGCAGTGCACCTGTAAAATGAAGAACCTGTTTATTGACAGCGAAGGGGAGCAAAAATAGTGGATTTAGCTATTTTCTTTTTTACACATGGAGCAGAAAAGCCTACACAATTCTGTTTCCCCCTTTCCCTTCATTCAGAACAGGCCAGTGCCCGGGGTGGACTGAAGAATCCGTAGGACTTGAATTACACCTAATATATGCCATTTCCCAGCTGTCCACATTAACAGCCTAACACATCCTTCTGGATGGAAATGTCCACATTCCTTTTCACCTTCCCTTAAAAGTCATCTATTTACTTTCTTACACAGGATAGTTCACTGGATAGTTGAATCCAGAGTGGAACCAGAAGTACCCAGAGAAGTTGTGCTCATGTGTGACCGCCTCAAGCCTGGGCTAAAGTGCTTTTGTTGCAGGCATACAGAAAGCTCTTGACTTGAACAGACACTGCTCCACAAAGTCCTGCCTCAGGCAACACTCTGCGGATTTTTGCTACCTGGTATCCACCAGGCCACATGTTGCTCCTCACAGCTGCTCTGGCGGAGGCAGGTACTATGTGCACAGGGGAATTTCAGGGTGTCCACGGCATGCCCGTTGCAGGTGTGGCATCCCTTGGGGCAGCACTAGGATGCCGTCACCTTCTCCTTCTTCAGCAGAACACAACATCTTCAGCATAAGCTTGTAAAAAAATACTTTAACAGGATATAATGTACAGAACTAGGATTTGACATTGTATATTACAAGGCTAAAATATTTGTATAAATACTGTACAGGCATGGAGTCACTCCACTGGAATGGGCTCATTAATGCGGCCACTAAAAGCTGCTGTGGGTACTCCCAAAGCAAACTACTTCACAGTGGGAATAGGAAAAAAGATGACTATGCTGTGTCTATACACATCACAGGTGCATCCGAAATATCTTATAGATCCCACCAACCGCCCACCACCAGACACTCAGTTTTATATGTGCAGGCAAGCCCAATGGAAAACATTTTTAAACACTTGGTATAGAAATTTTAGCACTTTGGAAACTCCCATGTAGACCGATTTCTCCTTCTGTGAGCCTAATAACACAGCCATTCCCTGGTGATTATGGAGCCAAGCAAGCACCTCCGGCACCCACCAGGGGGAGGCTGGCCTCACCTCTGATGCTCTCTCTGGCATCCACATCCCACGGACACCTGACCCAGTCCCCTGCCATGTCTGCGTCCCATAACTGTAAGTGGCTAATTGGCACTGAATGCAAACAAGGCATGAGATGGACTTCCCTGGAGGCCCAGCTCCAGTTCTGGATCTGAGCTGGAGGGTGAACAAAAGGCAGAGAGAAGTGCAGACAGAGTGTGTCCCAGTTCATTGATACTCTGTCTCTGTAAGTGGCATTTAGTCTGGCATTTCGATATTCAGTTTGGGAGGTGGGAGGACATATTTTCCAGGGCTCTGGGTAATAACTACTCTGGCCTTCTTTCGAAACATAGGAGCAATTTTAGGGGGTTCTGGAACTGGAGTTTCTTCTGTTTCTTCATTGTCTTCATGATGGAGGTCATATGAAATGTTTCCATATTCTCTCAGAAATGGGAAGATTTCCAACAGAAATTGGCAGAAGTCTTTGCGAATTCCAAACCACCCTGAAAAACAAAAATGCTCTTTTTCACATGCTAGGATCCACTGCTTTTTTGGGAGCAATTCTCTCTTCCCAATGCAGATTTTATATATATATATATATATATATATATATATATATATATACACATATATGTTTTACTTCACCCAGATTCTATAGAAATGAAGGCAGTCCCAAACTTGAGTGCCCAATATGGAGAAGTGTAGCATATTGCTCCAGAGTTCCCTAAAACGAGCTCCTGGTTCTGAAGTGATAGCATTCTGTAGGTCCACCACTTCATAATCAGAAATCGTGGGGTGAGATGGGGCCAGAAGAATCCTTAGCCTGGCCCAGCAGGGATTTTGGGTGTGCTCACATTTGAGAACTATTACTCTAGCTGAGGGGCCAATGCCCTTGGGGCCTAGATTATCTCATTGCCCTATCATGTACGCTGTACCAGACAAACTCATGGATAACAGTATCTTCCAACAGGAGGCAGTCTGAGCCCATGAAGTCACCTCACAATTATATTGCTGAGGTCCTATTCCCTCTAGATAACATGGGGACTCTCCAAGACCTGCTCCCCTTCCTGGGAAGCCCAGGACTACCAGCGCCCAATGCCTTCCCTGAGTACCATAGGACAATGCACTCAGTGCCATCTCTCCTAGAGTGCAGGCAGTAAGCATGGCTTGGGCTGGAGGCTAGGTACTAACCCCATCTCTACTGGCTCTCAGAAGAGCAATGTCCTGAGGTTACATGCAGTGGAACTCAGTTTCATGAGAAAGGAACCTTCGTCTAAGATAAGTTCAAAACAGCATGCTTTAGGGCCAGTATTGTGGTATAGCTGGAAAAGATGCTTCCTGTGGCAACAGAATCCTATATAGGTGCCACTTAATGTCCTGGCTGTTCCACTTCCAACCCGGCTCCCTGATAATGGCGGGAAAGTACATAAAGATATCCAAGTGTTTGGGTTGCTGTATCTACATGGAGACTGGGATGAAGCTCCTGACTCCTACCTTCAGGCTTGCCCATTGCAGGCTTTGTGGTAATCTGAGGAGCAAATCAGTGGATAGAAAATGTGTCCCTCTCCCTTCTCTCTCTGTAACTCTTTCTAAAATAAGCTATAAAATATGTGCACAGCATGCAGCTGGAGAGGAAGAGAGCCAGCAAGGAACACCTGGCAAGACTCAGTGATATCACGAATAACATGAAGAGAGGAGCAGGGCTAGAAAAGAGTGTGTGATGATCACCAGGTTCTGGTGTGAAACATGGATTTCTCATCCCATTCTCATGAACTCTAGAAGGAGGAAACTTGATCCCTATGTTGAAGCACATGTTCTAGAGACTCAGAGAGGGCACTTGATTGGTCCTGTCTCAAGCTGCAATGTGCACTGCAGGAAAGCCATGTTGCAGGAAGTGCAAAGCCAGGGAGATAGCATATATGCCCTGTGCATGGAAAGTCCCTGACTTTCCTCAGCCCTGCTTTTCCCACACATGCCTAAATTGCATCCCTTCTCCAACACACACACACACACACACACACACACACAAAGTCAAGGACTCTAAAGCACTGAGTACATACAGTGGTTTCCTCCTTTCTGTCCAAATGTGGTTGCCATCAGAGTTATCAGCGAGAGCCACAGTGGGACAAATATTGGAATACATGAGAATGCGTTGTGGCCGTCCAGCTTGTGCACCAGCAGAATCTACAAAACGACAGTTCAGGTCCTGTTGATACAACATCTGAAAACCACTTTAGTAGGATGTCCCAGTCCATCAGGCCTCACAGGGGAATGTCTCCACCCAAGGGTCTACAGAAAGTTGTCTGTCTTTTGGGGACTGGGTGGAGCAAGCCTTCATATGTCTCCTGAGGATCAAGCAAAAGTCATCTATTCAACATGGGTCAGCACCAGAATTTTAGGGGGAAATCCTTCCTGTGTTTGTTCTAAGGAGTTATCAGTCCCCATTCTAGAATTACCCAAAGATGCAAAGATGAAAACATGAGACCCAATTTTCTTTTCTGGAAAGTAGAAATGAGGAGGTGACACTATGGCATAACGAGTTAAGCCATCACCCGCACCTGGTACCACATATTATGTATTCATTTGTGTCCTGGCCGCTCTACTTCTGACTTAGCTCCCTGCTAATGTGCCTGGGAAAGCAGCTGAGTATGGCCCAATGGCTTGAACCCCTGTCCTCACATGGGAGAGTGGGAGAAGCTCCTGGCTCCTGGTTTCAGCTTGGCCCAGTCACGGCTGTTACAGCCATTTGGGGCAGTGAACCAGCCGAGGAATGATGTCTCTCTCTAACTCTGCCTTTCAAATAAAAAAAAAATTCTTAACAGCAGAAGCAAAACACATAGATGCAACCTACATAAGAGGTTTGCACCCCACTGCCAGATCTACCCTTCTCCCATAAGATAAAGGACTTCTCATTTCGCTGAAGTGTGCTCTCTGCCTTCTCTCACAGAGGGGATCATCACCGCTTCCAGGATAGCAGGCAGATTTTCCAGGCATGCAGTGTGCTGTGATAGGGAGGGCTGGGCATTTAAGGTTCCTATAGCAGCTCACCTCAAAAGTCAGGAGAGGCACGACAATGGTCATCCAGCTCAATGCCATGGTTATATGAGTCCTTCGCTGTTCTGCAATCACATCCATAGAGCGCAAGAACAAGACAGACCACACAATGTAATAGAGGACCACTAGGCACAGAAAGGACATGAGAATCCATAGGGGGACACACACCACCTGAGGGAAGGAGAACAAAGGCCATGGGATTTAGAGCTTTTGATGCAGCCACCCTGCCAGGCCTTTCAAGACAGTCTCACCTCCCAGGACTGAACAACTTGGAGTTGTTCAGCATGGGGCCTGCCAGAGGGACACCCTGAGTCACTTATCCCTCTGCCCTTCTATGAAGTTCCACATCCAACCTCAGTGACCCTGTTTCCTGTTAGAGACTGCACTCACTTCACTCTGTCATGCACAAACACTTTACTCCTTGACTCCCTCTCATTCCTTTCTCACTCTCACCTCTCATTCGCACTTCAGTGTATCCCTCACATTTCAATATCACTGTCTCCCAGCACACTCACTCACAGACACACACACCTTGCTATGCCACTCACATCTTTGCCTTCTGCTCACAAGCTTCACTCTGACTCACTCTACCACTCACACTTACCTGATTCTCACACCTTAAATGGGCCACCAACTCACTCACATACATCATTCTTTCCCACCCCAATCAAACTCACAGATACCTCACTGTGGTACTCACATCCGTCACTCATTCACTTACACTTCACTGTGTTACTTGCTCACATACTGACTATCATTCACTTACCCACACCTCACTGTGACTCATTCCCTCATACCTATGAACTCATTCACTCATATCTCACCATGTCACTTATAAATGCACACCTCATTGTGGCACTCACACTTTTGACTTCCTCATTTGTTTACACCTCACTTTGTCATTCACTCAGTCACACCACTCACACCACCCAGTCACTTCACTGTCACTCAAAAACCTCACCCTTACTCTGTGACATGTCATTGACACTAGCACACTCGCACCTATTATTCATTCAGTCATATGTCGGTGTCTCTCATACCTGATTCTGTCATTCACACCTTTTATTCAGTCAGATCTCACTCTCTCATATCCTACACATTCACATCTCACTTGGTCACTCATGGTCAAACTCTCACATCTTCACTGACTCATATCTCACTTTCATATACATTCATTCACTCATTCATACAAAACTGCCCCACACTCAGTAACTCAGATCTCATTCTGTCACTCACTCACTAGTGCATTCATTCACTCACAATCACGCATACACTTTCTCAGACACTCAGGAACTCAAACATATACTGCCAGTCATTCACTAAGTCATACAATCACCTATTCATACAGTCACTCACACATCAAGCACTCTTGCAAGTCACTTGATGACTTATACACATAATCATTCATCTCCTCACTCATATCCTCATTTACTGAACCATTCAGTCTCTCCTTCACTTACAGTCACTAAACTTACACATCCCCCCACTCACAAACTCATTTACATATTCACTCACATACTGACTCATGCCCAATTTAATCACACACATTCAGGAAGTTATTATTATTCAACCACTGACTCAATTCATCTACTCACACACTCAGAATTCATTTACACACATTCAGTCACCCACTCACATAATCACTCACTTACACATTCATTAAACAAGTACCCCATGCAGTCTCACTCAATTACACATTCATCCAAACATTTATGCACTTACACACATAACTCACTTATATGTGCATGCATTCACTCAGTCACCCTCATAGTCAACCCAATAACTCATACATTTGCTTACACACAGAACTCAGTCACATACACATTCCATTATTCATATACTTCTTCACATATTCACTCAAAAAAATACACATTCATATACTCAGAAAGTTTCTCTTGACTAGTTTCTAGGCTTTGATTGTGGGTTTTGCTGAAGAATTTATGCAAGCTTGTTTTCCCCTTTCTAATGCATTTCTGTCATAAGACTCGTTTACTGGAGTTCCCATCAGAGGTGGTGGGCTATTAGTGACCTTAACAGGCTTACTTGCTCTCCCTTGCATAATAACACTGCTTCATCCATTGAGATCTTCACGGGATCAAGAGTGAAAAAAGATTCCTATGTCTATCTGCATTGGAATCCCTAAATATTCTTCTTCCTAAAAATTTGCTCTTCTCTGACTTTGTTTCTTCCACATTAAAACAGAAGCAGGTACAGTGCTCTGGAGAACAGGATGGACGCCTGACAGTGGTTTTCGTTATGAATACGCCAGCAAAGAATTTTAGCAGAAGTGCTTAGTTTCACCTACACTTTCATTCTGGAGCACTTATGTCTCCGAATTTTCTTCTCTGTCCCAGTGAGTAGACTATTTTTTATGCTATGTTTATTGGTTTTTGAAAGGTAAATTATGTTTAATACAGAAATTGGTTTATATGCAAAGCACACATCAAGCAGCACAGAAAATAAAATGCTAGAATGAAACTGTGTAAGTCTTCTTTCTTTCCATCTGATATCTATGAATCTACAAATTTGCAAGTTGAAATCATGATTCATTCTTTACTTTGTAGCTTGTCATTTATTTATCAAGGCTTCTATCCATCTAGTCAGTTTTCACCAAACACTTACTAAGTCAGCCACAGTTTAGAGTCATGACTTAGAGCCCATCCTTGGCAGGAATTTAAATTGGTACAGCTTTTTAGAAAAGCAAGTGTAGTATTAGAATGATACTTCAAAAATTTTTGAAATTCATATATAATTTTTTATAATTCACATCTTTAACAAAAACTTTTTAGCATCAAATTACACTCATGCTTTAAATTATATTTTTCTGTGAGCTGTTTACAAGTTTCAATAAAGTTCTTACCCTGTAGCCTAGCAATACTGTTTCTGCAGTATTTTCTAAGAAAATAATCACCTATTTTATGTACAAAAACATATACTACAGCATGATATAAAATTGCAGAACACTAGAAATAACAATATTCAGACATGAGATGATTTCACAAACACATTTTAAAGAGTATTTTGCGTAAATTAAACTTTTAAGACTTGTGCTCATAAAGAACTTTTATTAACATGGAAAAATGCTTGTGGCACAACATTAAGGTAGAAAACAGAATATGAAATTATATACACAGTAGGATCCCAACTGTTTTTATAAAACAAAGACATAAAAATATTAACATGTCATTGCCTGGGTCATTATTCATCTGTTACTTGTGCTTTTCCCAGTTTTCTACAATGAGCACAAATTACCTTTATAATAAAACAAGAAATTTTTAAGGATTTAAGAAGTTACATACAAGCCAAGGCCAGTGGATGATCTTGTCCAGTCGTAATGCAATGAATATGAACTGAAGAATGTTGACAGAACACAGGATTTCTAACTGAAAATCAAGAAAAGAATCAGTGAAAGTCATATTCAATATTGCAGTTCTTTGGTAGCACACTGAAAGTGAATGCAAATTGTAATGCACTGAAAGCTTTATTATGCAACAGAGGAGACTTCTAAGTTGCAGCACTAGAGCATAGCTGTGCCACATCCAGGAGAAATACATGGCTTTCTGCCTTTCGTGTCTGCTCAGTGGTGGCCTTACCACTCTGTGACCTAAGGCTGGATCACTGTTGGCTCAAAGCATGACTTCATTTTCAGGAGCACCAGGAACAAAGAGCATTGGGAGCAACAAGCTTCCTTTTTCCTCTACCAACACTCACCTCTCTTCGTAAGCATCTGTGTGCTTCCTTCTTGTACCCGGGGTTTGGCCTAGCATCCTACCCTTTCCTTTCAGTTTTCTTGAGCCCCTTGCCACATCATCATCATTATGAATTCTTCATTGCATTTTTCACTTAACCTACTCCACTGATTCCTCCTAGCAGCGCAGAAATGAGTCAACAACTGATTAAAGACAGGAAAATCTTCAAAATCAAAGAAATCCACCCCTACCCTGATCTAGCACCTCTTAGTCTTGGCTCTCTGTGCTGCAGCCAAGCTTTGCAGACAATTGTGGTCACTTAAGCTGACAGTAGGTAACTTTCACATGGGTCACTGATAACCAGGAAGCAGCAGAACATTTCAGTTTGTATCTTCCTGAATGCCTTTACAATATCTCATATTATTGACTATTCCTTCTTTCTGAAACCTCAGTGTCTGTACTTCTAGGAACCCATCATGTGGTCTTCATGTCTTACATGTGTGGTAAGTCCTTCTCCAGCTCCTCTCCTCTCTTTAAATGGGGATACTTCCCAGAGCCATGAACTTAGCCTGCCTTCAGGAAACCCTACACCCAGACAGGTACCCTGTCACTCAAATATTCCACCACGGGGTTGGGGGAGGGGAAATTTCAGCCACATTCCTGGCTTGTTTTACTTGCTAGAGGGTGCTTCTCCAGGCCTCCTGCTGTGCACCAAGCTCTGTTGTGCACATGCCATTCTTGCCTCTCCTAAAGGTACTTCAAATTAAGCCAAGCCCCAAAGGGGTTCATTATACACTGCATCTTGAACTGTCTCCTACCTACATCTTCTTATCTCAGTGAAAGGCATAGCAGAAGCCTAAATATCCAAACCATAAACCTGGCAAGTACCTCTACTATTTGCCCACATTACCCTGAATCCCAACTGTGACTACCTTAACAGACCTTCTGCATCATCAACTCTCATACCACTCCACAGCCCCCACTGCTTCCCTGCCTCTGGTCTTACCAGGCCCTGCTCACAAAGGCCCTCTAGGCTACCCTTCACTGAGGTGACAGTTCTCACCTCACCTGCAGAATGCAATTTGTGTTTGAACCTCAAGTCTACTGAAAGTTTTCAGTTCACAGGGCATTTAGTGACAGCAATTATTTCACATCCCTGTAGGCTAAAAGAAACAAATAACAATATAACTGGCTTAATTAGGTAGGCCTAACCGTAGTATTTCTGTCCTAAACAGTCATTTGGAAAAAAAAAATTCACATACTTCATAATAAAACTATTATTTTTAAAGTTTTATTTTTTAAAAACCCACCGTTCTCTCTTACTGGGATGCATGTGCCAATCAGCACACAGGTTCACCCCCCTTGCCTGCTCTTCACTTGGACTTTGGCACCAGTGCTAGTTTTATTCACAGCAACTGCTACAAATATGGCTTCCTAAAGATACAACACCATCAAAAGTAATGTGTGACTCAACCATAAATCATGTAGTGGTCGGTATGATGTCAACAGATGTTAGGTATGACCGTGTTCCTCAAAATGTGCACTGTCCTCTGGTGCCTTGGGAGTTCACTAAGTGTGCCTTTGTAGAAGCTCCCCTTCCCTCAACTCCCACCCTTTCTTCCTTTGTTCCTGCCACATGTGTGAGGTACATATAGTCTACTTGGCTTACAGAGTTTTCCTTCCTCTGTGTCTCAGTGTGCCTGAAAACTACACTTGCTTCTCTCTAGCTCTGGGGCTCCCCAGAAGACCCCAACTTCTCCACATCTCCACAGGACTCTACCCCCACCTGACCTTGCCTGCAGAATCAGATCCAAGAACTTACCTCCTAGTATCCTATTTTCTTCTCAGGGTAGTAAACCTAAGAGCTCAAATATATGAAAGGCTTGTTCCTCACAAATCATGCCTCATGCAGTCCTATCCCTGGGCTATGCTTTTGCTTCCAAAACATAAAGTTCCAGATTTTAATTGGTCTCTGAAACTTTCTTATCATCTACTGCCCAACACATAACTATTAGATAACTATTCATGCTGTCCCTCATGGTTTAAAGCAACCTGGGATATGGGCATAAGTGCTTTCAGATGATATAGGCTTGGAAGGACAGTATCTTTAGTAATATTTGGTAGGTAAAAATCAGGGATAAGTGGCTTAGAACACATGAGACAATCCCACTCAACAAAAACTTTCCCTTCCAAAATGCCAGTAACACACCACTCTTCTGTTTGGAGAAATTAAAAGAAAAAAGTAACTACCTAGAATGCTTTGATTTCTGTGGTTCTGTTTAGTGCAAGATCTAAAAAAAGATTTTGAAAGCTGACTCTACTTCATTTGCTTATATAATAGCAAAAAAGCACACATGTAAAGTAAGAGGCATAAAACATAAACATACGTCTAGATGGAATGGTGTCTTTATCCAAAAAGAGAGAAAAGTGATTGGGATGAAGCTGATTAAGGAGTCTGGAGCTGATACAGAAATGTGAGCTCTGGTTGAGCCTTATACCACCAGCAGTACTCTTCCTGACAGCCAAACCTGGGCCATGGTCTTGTCACCAGTACAAGTCAGGGATCATTCCTACTGTTCAAGATCAAACCCTCCCTGGTACTAAAGGTCCCCGGGGCCTTGTTGCATCACTGTCCCTCTTCTACTGATGGCTTTTCCTTAAACCTGCATCTAGTGTTAAGGAGCACATGCCAGATCCAGCTTCGGGCTCCCATATTCCTTTCTAACCAAACCACAAACTTTTTTCCCCCATTCCTGTCCTTCATGGCTCAAAACAAACTTAGGAATCTACAGTTGTCCTTCTCTTATTTTGAAGAGATACGTTCTAAGACTCAATGTACCTGGAAACATGGATAGTGCTAAACCCTATTATACTATGTTTTTTCATACACACACACACACACCCATGGTATGATAAAGTTCAATTTCTAAATCAAGCACAGTAAGAGATGAACAACAATTAAAAGCAAAGTGGAACAATTACAACAATCTGTGTCGTATCTCTTGCTTTCAAAATCTTATTATACTGTTTTGTATTTTCAGACCATGGTTGATCAAGGACAACCGAAACTTTTAAAAGAAAAATTATGGCGAAGGCCACTGAGAGCCTTTAGTTCTCCTCCACATTCCATTAGCACATGCCTGGAGTTTGTATACAGGACAACAGAAATAAAATCTTAGCCCTGTCCTTTAATTATTTACTCTCTCTCTGAAAAACAACTGCCCCTACTTCACAGAGATGTCATGACTAGTAAGTTGGTACTACATGTGAAATGTCTAACACAGTGCCTGGCATACAGTACGTTCTTAAAAAATGTATTTCCACAATGATTTTCACTACTAGCATTAGTGCTATTAGTACTAGTATCCCATAGTCAAAGGCAAAAGGACCTGGCATATAGTAAATTTTTATAATCAGTATTACCTGAATAAAGAAATATACATACGGACAAATCAGCATGTGCTAATCAGAAAGCAGCAGAGGTGCTAGATCACAAAGCCTCAGGCAGTAAGATCGTTGGCTGGGCTGCAATTTCTTCAAACACTAAGCTAGGGGTTGTAGTAAAGGTATTTACTTTAAATAAAGGCAAATGCCCTCACCAAAGCGGTGGGCCTCATCCCGCCAGTTGGAAGGCGTAAGATCAAAGGCCAGTTTCCTGGAGAGGAAGAAAATCAGCCTCAGGACTACAGCATCAATTCCTGCCAAGCCTCCAGGCTAGCTGCTTGCCTTAGAGAATTTAGACTTTCCGGATCCCAGAATCATGACAGCCAGTCACTAAAATATATCTCTCCATGTTTGTATCTCTACCCATCTTGATAAATTGATAAATTGTGTTTCTCTGCACAAGTATGAGCAGGTTGGAAAAGATGGGAAGGAGGGAGAAAGCTGAAGGTCTAAGGAGCAAGCCAATAAATAAAAAATAATATTTACATCGTTTTTAATTCTCTTATACACCATGTTCTAAAGTTAAGAATCAATCTCTTCCAATCAAAAAGAAATTGACATTAGAACAACTGGCCCCAACATTTCTTTTAAATAATGAAATCTCACCTCCAGTGATCTGTCATGTCGAAAGCCCCAAACACAAGCTGCAACAGACACGGGGGAAACAAAGAACAGCGGCATGAAGACCAGAAGCCAGAAGTGGCTTCCTCTCTCGATTCTGTCACAGACCAGCACTTCAAACATCAACAGGAGCAAGTGGATGCCCACTGCAATTAACATGGCTTTAAACTCCACACATGTTTCTCCTTCTGCTCTATAAGGGAACAGATGAACAAGAATGTCACCTCAGTTGAAAATCTCTGTTATAAACAAACAGTCCAAGGTGAATATCATCTTATATTGATTGATACATTTAATTTTCTTTGTAAATCTGATTTTTAAAAGTGAACAAACATGAGATGGAAAGCTAACTTAAATGTAATCTGTTTAAAATTTTTTAATTTCGTTTTTGAGAGGGAGAGAGAAAAAGAGAGAGGGAAGAAGGGAGGGAGGGAGGGAGAGAGAGAGAGGAGATAAAAGGAAGGCCTGAGGCCTTATATCCACTGAGTAACTCCACAATAGCTGGGGCGGAGCTGGGCCAAAGCCAGGAGCCAGGAATGCAATCATTTCCCATGTAAGTAATAGGAACTCAATCACTTGAGCTGTTGCTGTGCCTCCAGGGCCTGCATTAGCAGGAAGCTGGAGTTAGCTGCTGGAGCCAAGTATGGGATATGAGCATCTAAAAGGCCAGACCAAATGCCTGGCTCAAACCCAACTAATAGGGAACCCTTTAATTATCAAAGAACTACTATAGGACAAGGAATTAACTTGACAACCAAAACAGACTTTATTATTTTAATAGTTTATATATAGTCTCAGAATTAATGCTCATAGTTATTATTTCTCTGGTAATGTACATAAACACTTAAGCTGATTTTGAAAATCCGATAAATATTCCTTAAGATTCAGGACCCTAATTACATTGGGAAAAGCATATTATATAAGACATATTTCATGCTACACTAGCTTTATGAAAAATACAGGCTACATTTCAACAAGATACAACAATTATTGTTAGGTGCAATTTCAAAATGTGTAAATGTTTCCCCTTTCTATTTCATTAGGATGAATTGAATTAACACCTGCAGTTGAAAGAGAAATAAGAACAAATAATTTAAATCGTTCTCAGGAAAACAATTTAATTAGCTGCTTAAGCATCATGCATGAACTTAACTAACAACTGAAAACTGACATGGCTGCTTATCAGGAAAATGTTATGATGCCTTGAAAAGCCTATGTTGTTTATTAAAAATGCAGACGGATAACACTGATACCTATTATCTTGCTGGGATAAATACACCTGAGCTTAGGACCCAAAGAATGAGATTAGATCACATGTTATCCCTGTGGGCCTGTTATGTTGGTTAATTTTAACACTAGAAAAACCACATCAATATATACAATCACATTCATACAACTCTTTCCCTTGCCTGCTCTTAAACCAACAAAGAACAGGGCAAACATAATCACTGAAACCAAAAATGTTTACTTATTTCACTTTTCATTCTTTCAGAACAAACATCAGATATCTGAAAATATCTCATAAAAAAGATGTATAGTTACACTGGTGATCAAGGTTTAAAAAAATGTAAGAACTTTAAAATAGTTACATGAAGAGCCTTGGCAAATGAAGGCTACTTCTAAGTAGCTCTTCTAAAGTTCTTCAACATGTATGTGATTTATAATTTGCATGATATAAATTCAAAGTTATTTTTAAAGTCTTTAGTAACCAAGAATTTCAAAAGTGGAGATGGACCCAAGTTCAACTGTTTTGCTACATCTCATAGCTCCCTCTTCCCTTCCTTCTGGGTGTTCCTTCTATCCCCACCTTCCTGGTGAAGTTTGTCATAGCCCATACTTCCCAGCATCCCTTTTTCCTGTATGAAGTTTTAGACTCATAAACAGGGTCTAATGACATAAGGCTACAGAGCATCTTCCCTGCCCCTAAAGGCTCTTCCTTCCTTTTTAGCATCTGGTTCTCAACTGTCTGCATTTCCCTATCTCAGATACTCAGAGCCTTCTGTCCAAGCTACACGCTATACCTTGCAGGACTAGGAGATGGGAAGGAGGATGGCCCAGTTCCAAATCTGAACTGGGAAATACAGCTCCCTGTTGATCAAAGTGAGAACTATAAAAGCCTTCTGAACACAAGCTGCTTTGATGCTTCCAAGTCTAGTATGGCAGAACAGTTTTGTATTTTGAGTATCTTTTTATTACAAAGAGATCTGTAGGCTGTTGAGGTACTTAATTACCTAAAATAACATTGCTTTTATAAGTGAATAGATATCAAGGCACCTAATTTTTAAAAACACATAGACAGAAGCTCATTTTATCTATATTAGTTTTTACAGATAAGTAGAAAAAGAAATGGTCTTTATCAAAAGTGGGGAAAAAAACCCACAAGAACTTGTTCCCTCAGGACAAACGGACAAATTCTGTAAGACAGTATTACCGATATTGAGGATTTCGTGCCCAGACTCCAGTTCCAACTGATGCTCCCACAATGACCATTAACTTCCACAGCCATATTGGAGCAAAGACAGCCCAGTAACTCCACTGAATAATGCCATCCAGACGAAGGGCCAGCAGCACAGAAAACAGCAGCAGACACGCATAGATGAGGAATTTACTAGGAGAAAAGCAAAATGATTAAGTAGGATTCATTTTGACAAATATCTGATACTGCAACGGGTAGGAGTAACAGCAATATTTTTCAGTACATAAAGCAGTAATTTAACTATCAATAACTGAATAGCTCCCTATATTAGACATATTCCTACTGTGTCAGTGACAAAAGAAACAAAGATGCTTAAAGTAAATTCCTTGCTTTCCAGGGCAGAACAAGGTCTAACAACCAGGAAAAAGCAACACAAAATCAGTCAGAGGCACCAGGAAGCAGAGGGGGCAGCTCTGGCGAGATGATGAAGCATCCCAGGCAGAAGGAAATGGAAACTAGTTACACCGCGACATGGAGAACAGGAAAAGGTTGAAGATATTCAGGAAATGTTCAAGTTGTATCACTGATTACTACATCAAAGTTTATTTTTTTAAAGGCAGCCACTTGTCATGTTAATAAGGCATGCACATTTCAGTACATTATATTTTCCATGACTGACTGACTTAACACATACACATATGCACACACTTCCATGTCTCACACTAGAGGGAATTTCTGTAGAAGATATACTTGAAACATTAATTAGAAATTACATTACTGAGGACTTGTACTTCCATCACTGATATACCAACAGGGTTTATCTCGCTTCCTTAAACAAAGAATGGACAAAATATGTGAAACAGCATGTTGCAGACACTGGATGGCAGACAGTGAAGAACGGGGAGGCGGGAAGCAAAGGAGCTAATCCCCACCAGTGCAGGAGTTTACAGACAGGAGGCAGTTTCCAGGCTGGAACAAACATGTGGAGAAAAAACAACCTTTGAGGCCAGCATCTGGTCAGCTGCCTGTGATGCTTGCTTTTCATATGGACTCTGGCTTGTGTTCCAGATGTTCCACTTTTTCATTTGGCTCCCTGCTCGTGACTTAGGAAAAGAAAGCAGCAGAGGACGGCCAAAGTGCCCGGGCCCCTGCCATGCATCTGGGAAACCCACACGAGGCTCTAGTCTTGGCTTGAGTCTCATTCCACCTTGACTACTGCAGACATTTGAGGAGGGAACCACACATCCATCCCAAACCTCTCTTTCTGACCCTGTAACTTTGACATTCAAATAAGAAATCTAAAAAAAAAAAAAAAAAAAGCCCTGTCATTAATTACCTTAAATGCAAATTATCTGACAATTTAAAGTCAACGATGATTGGATGGGTTAAATAGGGCAGCTTTTATATGCTGTCTAGAAGAAACTTCACCTACCTGTAAAGTAACAGATTAAAAAAAAAAATAGAAAGATTAAAAAAAATAGAAAGTTATTACCTGCCTCCTCCCCAATAAACCATGCAACTATATTAATATGTTTTACTTTTTTATTGTGGCTATAACAACTTGCCACAAATTTAGCAAGTAAAAATAAAACTTATAGTGCTGCATGGAAAATGGCCACTGGGTTTGTTTTCTTACAAAGAGTCTCACAAAGCCAAAAAATCCAGATGTGTACTGGTGGTACTCTTCGCAGGAGAATGAGCAGAACCTACTTCCAAACTCATTTAAGTTCATTTGCTGAATCTAGGGCTTTTTGGTAATTAAGGTTGAGGTTTCTCTTTCTCTGCTGCCTGTCAGTTGGGAGCCATCTTTAGATACTATAGGTCCTATATTTTAAACTCAGGAATCTTTCTCATGCTTCAATTTTTTTTCTGAAGTCTTTTACCATATCTCTTTTGCTTCCAGTCAGGAAAAGTTCTGTGATTTCAAGAGTTCATGTGATTAAATCAACTCTATCCAAATAAATCATGCTACTTACCATAACTGGAAGTCCATTGCTATGTTATAAAAATTCTAAACATGTATCCAATTAATTGGATTTAGGTCCAATTAAATGATAATCTGGGTACTAATGTGAATGGGTTTTGCAGGTAGAATATTATCAACTAATCTTAAAATACGTAGATCATCCTGGATTATGCTGGTGGGCACAAGGCTTTAAAAGAAAAGGAAGGCAAAAGAATAATTTAAAAAAATGTGTGAAAGAAGAGAGATGAGGTAGAAGAAACCAGATTCCAAACATTAGGATTTGAAATGCCATTGCTGGCTTGTAAGACAAAGAAACCATCAACCCAAGGATGCAAGCGGCCTCAAGAAGCTGAGAAAGACTTGCAGCTGAAAGCCAACAGGAACATGGGGGTCTTCTATCCCTACCACAGCAAAACACTCTGCCAACAGCCCACCTGGGTCTGCAAGTAGATTAATGATTAATCCCCAGAGCCTCCAAAAAGGAAACACCATTAACATCTTCATTTCCATCCTGTGATACTTTAGGCATCAGACACAATGAAGGGATATCTATATTGCTTATGTAAAAAAACAAAAACAACCCGTGAGCTACAGTTCATATAGCTTTTTCCTATAAAACAAAAGGGTTTTTTTTTTTTAATTGGAAAGGAAGACCTACTGAGATAAAGAGTTACACAGAGTAGGAGTTACAAAGAGAAAGATCTTCTGTTCGCTGATTCACTCTCCAAGTGGCTGCAATGGCCAGAGCTGAGCCTATCTGAAGCCAGGAGCCAGGAGCTTCTTACTGGTCTTCCACGTGGGTATAGGATTCTAACGCTTTGGACCATCCTCTACTGTTTCTGCAGGCCACAAACAGAAAGCTAGAAGGGAAGTGGAGTAGCTGGGACTTGAACCAGCGCCATATAGGATCCTAACACATGCAAGATAAGGATTTTAGCCACTAGACTATCAAACCGGGCCCAGTTTATACAGTTTTAAGCCAGTGAGTTTTGCAAATATGTCACAATAACAATAGAAACTGTAACTTAAATGCACATATCAAGTACCTTTTCTATGTCATGACATATTCACAAGTTCAAGAGTGCAGAATATTTTGGGTCATTATGATTACCGTAATAAAAATCAAAATATAGTTTGAACAAGGAATATTATTAGGAACAAAACAGAGGCAATTCATAATGATAAAGGGGTTAATTTGTCAGAGGACTGAATACTTGTAAATATCTATGTACTTAATAGTAAAGCTTTCAAATACATGTAAAATTATTAAGCAAAACTGCATCTAAAAACCAACAGTAACTTTCTGGAAAGAAAGGCAATATCAAAGTTAGCAGGAGAACAAATAGATACTCTCATATCAATGTACCTATTAAGGAAACTAAAACCTAGTTAAAATTGTTTCAACAGCAAATACCAGGCCCTGACAAATTTCAGTTTACATGTAAGAATGATATAGCACCGATTCTTCACAAACTCTTGAACAAAATGTATATGTGGTTGAACATTTTTTATTATATATTATATATTATATATATATTATTTTAGATGGTGTTAACATAGTTGATTAGGGTGGGATGGATCAAGGGTTATAGAAAAGTGTATGATCAATGTTTCCCAATTTTCTATCTGTACTTCCTGGGTTTTTTTTTGTGGGGGGTGGGGATAAGGGGAGAAGCCATGCCCAGCCTCCCAACCACCCCAGTACCCAGGGATAGGGAATGCCAATCCGATATCAACTCAGGGTCCCAATGTGGCACACATTCTGATGGTTCTGCCCAGTTGGTTTCGATAATTCTGAAATGTTGATCTTACCAATCCAAGGATGAGGGAGCCTTTCAAATATCCATTGGCTGATATAGTTGACTTCAAAGTTTCCATTCACCCAGATATTTACTGTTATCATCTGGCTGGGACAGTTGTCCAATTTGTGTTGCTCCTTGTGTCCAATTTGTGTTGTTCCTTGTGTCCTTCCTCTGGGATGGTACAGACGTCCCTTGCAGGGCTCAGTGGGCTGCCATATCCTCCACGTGGATCTGGGCCAGCTGTCTACAATTCTGTCCTTTCCCCTGAGGAGGACCAGTTCTTGCAGGTGGCCCAAGAACCCAGGCCAGGCGACCCATGCCCGCTGCACCCCCCACCCCCAGGGCTCACTGATCCGGCACCCACCACACAAGTGTGCCAAAGGACCCAGGCCAGAAGACCCAGCACCTACCGTGCAGGTGGGTCCAAGGATCCGGGCCAGACATCCCAGTCGCTCCTGCTGGGTTCATGAACCCACTGTGCTGGTGGGCCAAAGACTCGAGCCAGATGACCTAGGTCCCATCAGATCTCCCACCCCTGGGGCTCATATACCTGGCATCCACCACATAGGCAGGCTGAGAATCCAGGCAAGGTGACTCGAATCCCACTGGACTCCCTGTCCACAGGACTCAGGGATCCAGCACCCACCGTGCAGGTGGGCCAAAGAACCCAGGCCAGGTGACCAAAGTCCCACCAGACACCCAGACCACTGGGGCTCATGGACCCGGCACCCACCGCACAGGCAGGGCAAAATGAAGATAAAAGCAGGACCCCACTTCCTCTGAGAACTCTAAGGATGAATCCATTACTGGCCTTTGCTAGTTTCTGAAATGATACTCCTTGACTTACAGATCTTTCCTCCTTTATCATAACATCATTCAGGATCTTCAAATTCCTTTTTTTCTGCTTCCATTAAATGGCCTTCTCCTCTTAATAATATCTGCCTCTATCTCTCTTTCATAAGAATACTTGTGGTTGCATTTACGGACCTTCTGGATATTATAGGCAAATACAATCATATAAAGATCTTCAGAGTAACCACGTCATTTGCTATGGAAGATGATATTCAAAGATTCAATGGAAGTGGATGTCTTTGAAGGCTACACTCACCAAATTAATCAAGTTATTATAAATATTCAAGGAACTCTCAATGAAAGTCCCAGCAGAACATTTTGAAGAAACTGACATCTGTCTCTAAAAGTTATATGAAAATGCAAAGGCTCCAGAATGCACAAAAAAATTGTGAAAAAGAGTAATGTTGGACAATATACACTATGTACTTTAAATGCTCACTGTAAAGTTGGCAAGACAGTGAATCCTGACTTCACAACTCATAAAATATTTATGTAAAATGGATCACAGATATAAATGTAATATCCCAAACTATGAAATATCCAAAACATGTAGGAGAAAAGATACTTGCCAC